ATAATCTGTCGACTAACCAACAAACAGTTTACACACAAGTCCAGTACCCAACAGATTGATCACGTGAACAACCGTTCTCTAAATATAGCATCATCACGTGATAGGTTGCTTGCAAACAATGAAGTCACATGACACCCCGATACACTTCACTGGACCGTCCGTTGCTCTCTCCCCTGTAGGACAGATGTTGTTGTTGTTGTTGTTGTTGTTGTTGTGTATGGCCTGATACCTTTGCACTTTAAATATAAGACAGACTTCACAACGCTGCATAAATGTAAGGTCTCAAGTGTATATCTTGCATTGCCATCGATGTAGAGAACAACTGCACAGTTCAGTCTGTTCAGCGTGTAGTACTAACATTACTAACAAACAAACAAGTTTGTATGATTCTTTCTGGAATACACTGTAACTGTAATTTACAGTATTTAACTATTTAAGTCAGTAATATTAATATTAATATAATATTACTGTTATTATTATGTCTTAATATTTATTAACATTATCTTTATGTAGTTAATTGATGATCCTCATCCTGATACTACATCGATGCGCCATCGCCAGAGTGTGTGACGTGTGAAGAATTAAAAAATATAAATTTAAACATTGAACATTTCTGTTTTTACCTAAAATATGATTCAGTTCGATGTGTTTTGAGAATGATCATAAGTTTGTGTTGTGTATGTATGTTTATAGTTTATACGCAACCAAGTTAATTTTCTTGTAAGTAATTTATCTTACCAGGAAACATAAACATTTGTTTTTAACATTGAAAAACATTTAAAAAGATATATTATTATTTAAATTGAGAGTGGCAGCAATTGAATGTAGAAAGTCTGAAAGCAGATTTTGTTGACAGAAATTATAAATGTGATTAAATCAATCGTGGGTTAATTAGTTAAAAATAATAAAATAGATCATGATGCTAAAAGTATGATTATGTTGAGAAAAAACTTTTCCTGATATCCCTATATTAGATAACTTGGCTCTCCTTGCAGATCCGGACGAGGGTTGGACGCGGGCTGGACGACTTAGTTCAGTTTAGTGGGAGTTCTCTCTCTTGGCCGCACTTGAAACAGTGAGCGGAAAAGTCCACGAAACAAATGACATACTTACCTATACCAACCCTCGTCCGGATCTGCAAGGAGAGCCGATAACTTATACAGTACAAACAGCTTAAGGTGATCTCTGATGTGGTGATTTTCTGTTGTGAAGAACTGTTTATCATCTGCAGTTTTTCTTGCTTGAACTATTGTGTTGTTTCTTTGCATTTACTGGCTGTAAACCGTGGCGGAAAAACCTGGTTGTTCATCCATTATGAACCTTAGCTTTCTTCTAGGAGCTGTGTTTTGCATGTGCATCTGTTTTACAGATCTTGCTTATTTGTGTGTAGACTTGTATCATTCCTTGCGTCTCAGGCAGATGCACTCCAACTTTGAAGGAAGCCCCCAATTTGTGGACTCCTAGGACATGCTTGTTGGGGATGCAGTGGGCCTGTTCTTCTTTTCCCACAATGGGTTTCCAGAACCTGCACAGGGAGCTGAAACTCTTATCTGAATGAGAGGAATTTCTGGCAAGAGGAACCATCTCTTTGTTCCCCAGTGAGTTCTCCTTATCAGGTCTGCATTGTATCAGGAGACTAGTAGCCTTGATGACTTTCATCATGCAGTTCGTATCTGCCTATATACAATATTACATTGTTATGTTGATTGAGGTGGGAACAAGCCAGATGACTTCTGTGTCAGCAGTACACATTTTATAAGACAAACATTATTTAAAATAATGGTGCTAAAAGTTGGAAATTGCAGGACTAAATTAGGTGGAAGTTGAAGAGCAGTGTGAGATGATGATGATTATTCATCTTTTGATAAAACTGATAATGAAAATGGGTGGTAGTTATTGATACAAAAATCAATTACTGAATAATATTGATGCTGGTTATAATTAAAATGATGATACACATAAAGATGAGGTCAGAAAAAAAATGACAACAGGACATTCAACATAATCAGTACAGGCAGGACGAGTTTCCTGATCAGTACAGCTCTGACATTGACTTTAAGGCTTCAAAATATATTACAAATAATTTTCACAATTCTCCAGAAATTGTATCAAAAGAAAAGACGATCTGCAATGGATCTAGTCATTCCACCTCATTTGTTTACCTAGAATATACAAAGGCCCAGCTCTCACCCTCCACAGTAGATGCATTAAGGAACTACCTTTGCTTTGGTGTCTGTTCCTATTTTTATTGTGGTATTACTTAACATGCTTAAATTAACATGCAATTCCTTAACATTCTTTAATTAACGAGCATTACCCTAATCTGCTTTTATTAACATAGACTAATGACTTGCACACTCTTTAAGAATTTGAGCTTTAATTAACATAGACTAATGACTTGGACACTCTCTAAGGATTTGATTGCATTTACTTTGAAATTGAATTTGAGCTAACAGTAAATGGCGAATTAGAAGCCATACTAAATATCAAAGTCCAGCCAGTTAATTACTTGCTGGCTTTGATGAAGGAAAACTTGCTGTATATAGACAGCCTCACAGACCTGCTTGGCAAGGTTAAGCAGTGTGTTACTAGAACTAAGATCCACATATAGACAGCCTCACAGACCTGCTTGGCAAGGTTAAGCAGTTTGTTACTAGAACTAAGATCCACATATAGACAGCCTCACAGACCTGCTTGGCAAGGTTAAGCAGTTTGTTACTAGAACTAAGACCCACATATAGACAGCCTCACAGACCTGCTTGGCAAGGTTAAGCAGTTTGTTACTAGAACTAAGATCGACATACAGATAGCCTCACAGACCTGCTTGGAAAGCTTAAGCAGTTTGTTACTAGAACTAAGACCCACATATAAACAGCCTCACAGACCTGCTTGGCAAGGTTCAGCAGTGTGTTACTAGCAAGATCCACATATAGCAGCCTCACAAGACCCATAAGGTATAGCAACTAAGAACTAAGATCCACATATAGACAGCCTCACAGACCTGCTTGGCAAGGTTAAGCAGTTTGTTACTAGAACTAAGATCCACATATAGACAGCCTCACAGACCTGCTTGGCAAGGTTCAGCAGTATGTTACTAGAACTAAGATCCACATATAGACAGCCTCACAGACCTGCTTGGCAAGGTTCAGCAGTATGTTACTAGAACTAAGATCCACATATAGACAGCCTCACAGACCTGCTTGGCAAGGTTCAGCAGTTTGTTACTAGAACTAAGATCCATATATAGAAGGTAAAAGAATGCCAGTGCCATCCTTGAAGAAATTTCTTGCAAAGATAAACTTTTATTTAATCCGTTTTAATGATGCAATGGTAATAAGATTATCTAAATATTCATAGTACAGTTCATTTCGTAATAAGAACCCAAATCAAATCAATATTTGAAACAGTACAATTTGCATATTTATCTGAAATAAATTATAACAAACACATACTCGTAGAAATTAATGAACACCATAAATCAGAAATGATAATTCTAAGGGTTGACAAGATATTTTTGAAAAATTATTAGTACTGCTACCACTACCACTACTACTACTACTACTACTGCTACTGCTGCTGCTGCTGCTGCTGCTGCTGCTGCTGCTACTACTACTACTACTACTACTACTACTAACTACTACTACTACTACCTCCTCCCTGTGTGAGTATATTTAACTATGATACAAGGCATGTTTTAGTCACTGTATAATATTTGTATGCAGTGCACTTGTTTTTCTAAAATCATCATCATCATACATTCATACCATCATCATCATACATTCATACCATCATCATCATACATTCATACCATCATCCTCATACATTCATCATCATCATACATTCATACCATCATCCTCATACATTCATATCATCATCATCATCATACATTCATACCATCATCATCATCTTCATACATTCATATCATCATCATCATCATACATTCATACCATCATCATCATGTGTATTATTGAGATCATGTTCCACCTTGTTTGTGCCTTGTGTGTAAGTTAATCCACTGATTGTCTTCCTTTCTTTCTGTCAAATCATGCAGAAGTTTTCCCTGCGCACCTCTGTTTCCAACACCATTGATCTTCTTCAAATGTCACAGCTTTCTCCATAGGTTGTTATTTTTCAGCAGATGTTGAAGGGATTAGTACACTTTTTTCCAGATTGTATTCTGTTGTTATGAGAAAACCAAAATATTGAAAATGCCAACAACAGATCATGTAGATGTCATGCTAGAGAACAAACAAACACAATCTCAAGGAGATCATATTAATCTTCTTTAATATCATCTTCTTTATCCTCAGTGGGTGCATGCACATTCATTATCTTGATATTTTTCCATTTTATTGGTAACCTACTGATCCTATCATTAAAAGATTCACAATTTGTAATACTTGTTTACAACTTGTTCTTGATGACAACACCTGTCCCTAGTTTATCTTTGTGCTATACACTATGATTTCCTCATTTTTCTCAAGCATGCAAATAACTTTTTTCTGTTAAGTTCTTTATTTGTAGTACCTTCCTTTCCATACTTTGGTTATAATCAATTTTATTTCTTTGTGTATTTCATAAACTTTTCTACATTAGCCTATTCGATGGCATATTTATTTCCATTGCTTATATTGTTCTTGGAGGCCATTCTGTTGAAAAGACAGATTTTAATGAGATAATTTTGTTAGAGATTTAAACTCATGATCACTGGGATGGCAGGTCAGCATGCTTATCACTTTTACTGGCTCTCATAAAAGAATTCAACCGACAGGCAAACAATTGTGTGAAATACGCTACAAAGCGGAATACTCACTTCTAAACTAAATATTCACATTTGTATCTTTTCAGACCACAACATGACAGTTGCTAATTTCTGCAAGACTTGGCTGACCTTGATTTATGTGGTCACATTTACCTGTTGTGTGCTCTCTTTGGACAGACAGAATCCGTGGTATGAGATTTTGACACAACAAACTTGGAAGCATCTGGCTTCTCAGAAAATGACTGCCTGGCATCCATCTTTACAGCATGAGGCTTGTGAACATCAGACTGTTCAACATCACAGCTCATGGTATCATGTCTTCAAACACAAGACTTCAGATCAGGAGAATTTTAGGCAAGAGAATTCTCAACATCGACCATCTGGACATCAGAATTTTGAGCACAAAACCTTGGGAGAAGTTACTTCAGGGAAGCAGAACTCTAGGCACAAGACAACTACAGGCTGCACTGCTGCACCTCTTCTGCCTGACAAACCTTTCTTTGTTGTTTGGAATCACCCTACAGGAGAATGTCGAGCCAAGGGGGTCGACCTTGGTTTTGAGAAATGGGGCATTGTGGACAACAACCATGACAGTTTTATTGGGGAGCAGATTGTCTTGTTATATCAGCTTGGTCAGTTTCCATTCTACTCTGGAAGCAATCCTCATAACGGTGGGATTCCACAGGTAGGAGGTTGTTGTCTGTGAGTATTCTGTGTATAGCATAGCAAATCTGACCTGTCATGTTATTGAAATATTTCAGTACAAAGGTCTTTCTGTTTTGCATGTCATGTCCAAAGATGGAACAGATCAATCAGTCAAGTGCCATCTCCACATTAAAGGTGGGCTACAATGGATCTCCAACATGCTCAGTCTCTTGTCTTGGTTGTACACTCTCTCAGACTACTGTTTGTCCATCTTTTAGTGTTGTCTTTCCACTTCTATTGCTGCCTACCTCTTGCTCTATTAACTCAACATTTCCCCCCAGTAAGATTGTTACAAGAGATGAAAAAGGACAAAGTAGAAAATTAATTCTTTTCCTCCAACTTTTTCGTGCAATGAAGCCTAGGCTTGCAGCCAGATTCTGCCCAGTCTGTGCCATCTCACAGGATGAGTGCTTGTTTCTTTGGTGTATCCGAGGATCAGAAATGCCATCAGCTGTGTTGTAGCTATTCCTTTCCCCAGGTTGGGAAATTAGTGAGGTGTGCACATCCAATACTGGGACATCACATGAGGCTGCAACCAGATCAGGTCTTAACATGATGAGGGCTGTGTTGTTCAAACATGACACAGATGTACTGGCTGAGATGGGGGCCTGTGTTGATCAAACATGACACAGATGTACTGGCTGAGATGGGGGCCTGTGTAGATCAAAAATGACACAGATGTACTGCCTGAGATGAGTTGTAGCTATTCCTTTCCCCAGGTTGGGAAATTAGTGAGGTGTGCACATCCAATACTGGGACATCACATGAGGCTGCAGGCTGCTGTGTTGTTCAAACATGACACATGTATCAGGGGGGCTTAACATGATGACTGCCTGTGTTGGCCTGTGTAGATCATGACACAGATGTACTGCTGAGATGGCTATTCCTTTCCTGTAGTGAGGTTGCACATCAAACATGACACAGTTGTACTGGCTGAGATGAGGCCGGTGTTGGTCAAACATGACACAGTTGTGCTGGCTGAGATGGGAGCCTGTGTTGATCAAACATGACACAGATGTACTGGCTGAGATGGGGGCCTGTGTAGATCAAAAATGACACAGATGTACTGCCTGAGATGAGTTGTAGCTATTCCTTTCCCCAGGTTGGGAAATTAGTGAGGTGTGCACATCCAGTACCAGGACATCACATGAGGCTGCAACCAGATCAGGTCTTAACATGATGAGGCCTGTGTTGTTCAAACATGACACAGATGTACTGGCTGAGATGGGGGCCTGTGTTGGTCAAACATGACACAAATGTGTTGGCTGAGATGAGGCCTGTGTTGATCAAACATGACACAGATGTACTGGCTGAGATGGGGGCCTGTGTAGATCAAAAATGACACAGATGTACTGCCTGAGATGGGGGCCTGTGTAGATCAAAAATGACACAGATGTACTGCCTGAGATGGGGGCCTGTGTTGATCAAACATGACACAGAGATGCTGGCTAAGATGGGGCCTGTGTAGATCATGTTTCCTATAGAGTTTCAGAAATTTAACTGACAAAAGTCCTCAACCTGATATCCTCTTGGTGTGCTGTCCTCTATAAAAAAAAAAGTATTTTTTCTAGTGAACTTTTGGTTTTCCAAATTTATTGATTCACTTTGTTATTTAAAGGTGTAAAATTTTCTATAAGTTTTTTTTTTTAAATTGTAATGCTTTTTCAATAGCATTGACAATTTTTGTGTCATTTTTTTATTATTCTTTTCTATTACCTCCAGCTGGGAAATTTGAGCAGTCATCTAAAAAAGGCCAGCATTGATATCAGCAGAAAGATAGCTTCTCCATCTTTCTCAGGTTTGAGTATCATTGATTTTGAGGCTTGGCGCCCATTGTTTTACCTCAACTTCGACCGTCTAAAAATTTACCAACAGAAATCAATTGAGCTGGCTCAGCAGAAGTTCCCACAATACAACAGGTCTCAGATACAGCAGGAAGCAGTCACAGAATTTGAGGAAGCAGCAAGGTACAGTTTGTTGTTGCTTATTGTATTTTACACTGTACTTTATTAAATTGTAGGAGCCAACATGGTGTAGCAGTTGGACACCCACCTGTGGATCCAAAAACCATGGGTTTAGGTCCTCATGGAGCTGGATTTTGTCAAAAATGACCTTTGCCCCCAGGTCCACCCAGCCTTAAATGGTTACCAGGTAAAAGGCATGGGGAGTAAAGGTGGGTTGCATGATGCTGACCCAATCACCCACTGAGTGACGATTGATCTATCAGATTTTGGAGCAGCCCTGTTTGCACAATAGGCCTGAAGGTGTAAGTAAGGGCCTTTTACTTACTTATACAAATTTTTTGTAATAATGATCACTATCTTTCTTTGTGCTGCCTGCAGTTGCTTGACTGACTTGTAGTGTATTACCGTAGGCGTCTGCTGATTTGCCATCTTATGCAACATAATTGTATCTGATATTTTTATATATTCCTTTACTGGCATACAAAGTGTCATAAGGATGTCTTGAGAGAAGCCACCTCATACAGAGAACTGGTTACTCACACAGAGAACTGGTTAACCACACAGAGAACTGGTTACACACACAGAGAACTGGTTACCCACACAGAGAACTGGCTACCCACACAGAGAACTGGCTACCCACACAGAGAACTGGCTACCCACACAGAGAACTGGCTACCCACACAGAGAACTGGCTACCCACACTGAGAACTGGCTACCCACACAAAGAACTGGCTACCCACACAGAGAACTGGTTACCCACACAGAGAACTGGCTACCCACACAGAGAACTGGCTACCCACACAGAGAACTGGCTACCCACACAGAGAACTGATTACCCACACAGAGAACTGGCTACCCACACAGAGAACTGGCTACCCACACAGAGAACTGGTTACCCACACAGTGAACTGGTTACCCACACAGAGAACTGGCTACCCACACAGAGAACTGGTTACCCACACAGAGAACTGGTTACCCACACAGAGAACTGGCTACCCACACAGAGAACTGGTTACTCACACAGAGAACTGGTTACCCACACAGAGAACTGGCTACCCACACAGAGAACTGGTTACTCACACAGAGAACTGGTTACCCACACAGAGAACTGGTTACCCACACAGAGAACTGGCTACCTACACAGAGAACTGGTTACTCACACAGAGAACTGGCTACCCACACAGAGAACTGGTTAACCACACAGAGAACTGGCTACCCACACAGAGAACTGGCTACCCACACAGAGAACTGGCTACCCACACCAAAAGTCAATCCACACTCTTGAGGTGTGTCTTGAGAAACAGAACACTGGAAGATATGTCAACAGTAGCACTGTAGAGGAAGAAAGCAGGAAAATACCAAGAGAGAGTGTTGCATCATGGCATGGAAGAACATTAGTGCTGAAACAGAAGACTGGAGAAACATGGTGACCAATTCCACACTGACTGGAACCAACAGTTTAGCTGTCTGAGGTGGAAGGACTGCATTAGTCCTGTCCCGGTGATAACTGACATTATCTGACAAGCAAGGAACTTAATATTTTTCAGATCTTGAAGACAAGCAACATGATTTAACATGTGCCTAAACATACCTCAGTCATTGCTCATTGCAGAATCTGTTATGTACATATCTTTATGAGATTCACAGATAAGCTTTTTGAGTATTTAGCTCAAAGAAATTTCAGGAACTGTTGGTTTTTACCAAAATTAGATGAATGAAACTTTAAATGAAGCAACATAACAGCTGATAGAAACATGTCTCACTCAAAAAGCTGCAGATTGGAAGCCCAGGTTCTCAAGGACTAAAAACTACATCAGTCATTATCTCTTTTCAGTACTAGTCTTCTTTTATTTGCATTCACCGGCTGTAAACTGGCAGAAAGAACTGTTGTTTATCCACTTCTAGACTTTAGTCTTTAATGTATTGTTTCAGAACTTGAGTAAGTATGCCCGTCCATTTTACAGATTATTTGTATGTAGACAGTTGGTTCCTTGCCTCATTAGTTGATGCTTACGACATGCTTGTTAAGATAGCAGCGGGTCAACTGTTGTCCTAAAATGGGTCTCCGGAACTCACGCAGGAGTGAGTGAGGTTAAATCCTATTAGGACTGCACAACGAGCTATAAACATCAGGTGACACAGAGTGCCACCATTAGGATGAGAATCCCCCAGGTGCAAATCCCAGAAACTCTGTTTAACTGTTAGGTTATTTTATGGTCCCCAAAGATGTGCAGGGTTTTAAAATAACAATTGTCCCACACAAGAAACATCAGTACCAGGTATCTGGCTCTTTGTCTGAAAAAATTTGAGACACAAAATTAGCATCTGTGCATAAATGGCCAGAATGTGAAGCATTGTGAGTAGTCTAGCCAGCACACATATATTGTGAAGAGCCATTTGTTGTTAAAGTACCTGGAAGGTGTGCTATACTCTCTTTATGGAAACAATATGGTCTGGCAGTGTTAGTATTTAATATGATGATGATGGTGGAGATGATGATAATGATGTTAGTAAAATGATGCAGATAGTTCTTTACATTCTGCAGTTTTGCTTCAGTTTTACTGTTTAAAGACTGGAATTATTCACAATCTTTTCCTTCTGCTGCATCTTCTCCTACTTCTTGATGTTCTTTTCTTCTACAGTCACTACATTTCCTACTGCTTTTCTTTGTATTTTTAGCCTGCTCTTGTTCTGTTAATATTCTTCATGTCAAAACTTTGACAATAATCCTTGTACTGACAGTGCTGACAGTGAATCAGTTTTTGAAGTCCAGTAAATATAAAGTAGTCAACAGAATTGGAGGTGTTCTGGCCTGTGAACATGTAAATACAAACATACGACATACATGTAATCTCCAGTCACTGCCTACTTGAAGGTTTTTTTAAAGAAGATATCAAATCCTCCATAGATGTCCAAAGTTGAACAAGTACAGGTTAAACATGTTCTTGTTCTTTTTGATGAGCAGGTCATTTTTGGAGACAACCCTGCAGCAGGCTTCGCAGGCTCGGCCCGGTGGCAGGTGGGGCTACTACGGCTACCCACGATGTTGGGACACATATTGTAATACATCCACAGTGACAATTAATAATAGGCAGGTGACTATTTATGGTTATTATACAGTTTATAGAACATGTTGTGACCACTGGAAAAATGTGTGGAAGGAGGGATAGAGGAAGACAACAAGAGAAGATGCTTGACAGTCTTGTTGCATAGCATGGAGGTGTGTCGGCACACGAACTGATACATGCTGCAGGAGATCGCAGATTGTGGAGAGGCATGATCAGCCACACTAGTCGGCATGGCACCTGATGATGATGATACAGTTTATAAATAATAAATTCATAAAGATTTCACATGTCAATCATTCTCAGTATCTTGGCTACAAGAATGAGCTGAATCATCAAAGTAAAGGACCCTTTTCCCTTAGGCCTAATACGAATATAGTGCTAGATATATATATATATATATTTGATACACCAACTGTGTTGTGGTTAACATCAGACCAGTGCCTTTACTTCCCAGGTCTTCATTTGCTACTTTCTTTAGGCTGGGTCAACCAGGGAGCCAAGGGACGTAACAGACAGAAAGATCACAGTCCACTTGCTGAAAAGATGTGCTTCTCTAGGGGTGTCCATGATGGACAATGAGTCATGAAACCAAGAGAAAACTGGAGGCAGTGGACACACGGATTTTAGAAGACTAGATGATATTAAAGGCAGAGGGAGGAAATACAGTATGAGATCATCAGAGCTGCAGGAGCTGCACAATCACTCATTAAAAAAAAAAGCAAAAGTAAAAGTAAAGATCAATTTTCCTTAGGCGCATTGGGCATATAGGAAGAACATCCCATATTTTTACAGACCAATCGGCACTAGATGGGTAATGTGGTCAGCATTACGCCAGCCATCTTTACTTCCCCAGGACAGCCATCCTGGTACCCATTTTAGGCTGGGTTGACCTGCGACGCCCCATACCATGATAAAAATCCAGGCAGCCAGCAGTGGGTTTCAATCGCGTTAAGTTGGAATTACGAGTCGGACTTACCACACCTAAGCCACTGACGCCGCTCATCAAAGCAAAATCTTGACTTTTTTTCTCAGAACACATTCTCCTTGTTCTCATCAGCTAAGCCAGCTAATGATCTGTACATGTTCTGCCTTTTTTTTTCTAACTGTGTTGAGGAAAGTCATGTACCGGTTTTGAAGCTCCAGATAACACTTCTGTTCACTGTCTTTGTTAATTTAACTTCATAATTCAAGAGTTTAGTGCTTGGTGCAGCCCTGTGAGCTGTATTTTTCATGTGAAATGCCTTTCATTTGTGTGGCGGTTGTGTCATGGTATTCAAAATTGCTGGTAGTCAGTAATTTTAGTGCAAATAGGCATCTTAATGTGTGACCGAATACTTGCATCAACCACAAACTGAATTTCTGGTGGTGACTGTTGGCTCTGGCACCTCAGCAACTGCTGTATGCAACTGCTGTATGCATTCACTGCAGCACATATTTCTGGATTGTGCCAGGATGATTGTTTTTTTACCAGTTTTTCAGATGGGATAGAAAAGATAATTTCTTTTAATTTTCACTGGCACAGGAATGGAGCAAGTATGGATGCCTTGATTGCGGTGAAGTTGAAACTTCGACTAAGACACAATTAAAAAAACTTAATGGTCAGCAGTTCTTTTGAGGTTTCAGCAGTTGATTTCTAATTTCAGGATGGACTGAATATCTGCTCCATTTCCGGTAAAGCAGACGAGCAAGTCGTGTGTGCCAGCTGTGGTTGAAGAATTTAAGAAGAAGCTGTTAACAGTTAGTGCTAACAGGTTGAATATAATATTGTTTGGAGTGCTTGAAATGCTGCACCACTCTTCTTGGGTCTTCTTCTGCTCTGAGTTTAAGAACCTCTTCAAGAAAATATGTGGTGAATTTTCCCATATACTGAACTGGAGCTCTTGTGTTTAGGTTTGATTTTATTACACTTTGTGCAGTATAAGGCAGCAAAAGTAGCTGTCTATTTCCGTTCCAACTGAACTCTTGTGTTTGCTATTATCCTAGCCACATATGTATTTTTCTTAGGGGGGGGGGGGATGGAATGTGTTTGGTTGCTTTTCTCCAAGTTGTCTTTCCTTCCTATCCTTTTCTTATGAGGGTCTTTATCCGTCAATTTTAGTTTAATGTGCAGTCATTTATATATCATCTTGTATATCATCTTGTATATCATCTCGTATATCATCTTGTACATCATCTTGTATATCATCTGGTTCTAGGATGAGCTGGATATACAATATTAGCACTGGTCTTTATCCATCAATTTACTTCCCACGAGGATCATCAGCTGGTGGTCGGGTTCATAATATTATCCATGAAACTCTGCGAGTCAAGGCTACGTGGACTCCTCCGGATACAGTTATTCTTCCATACTCACTGTGCCAAGATGATGCATATGACGTATTCAGTGAGGTAGGACATATGTTAAAAGCTTCAACATTGCAGATAAATTCTTGTATATGTGTATGTGAGGCGATTGAGTGCACACCGTCACTCATGCTGGAAGACTGTCCATTGCTAGAACAATCTGTCTCTGTTTTCTGTCTGTCCTTTGTAATATTTCTGTAGTCATTAACACCTCCTTCAGATCTAATTCCCTACCCCTCATCCATCATCATCATCTTCACTGACACCTTTGATCTAGTGTCTTGAATATGCTCTTTGTTACATAATAAAAGACAGTGTTATGATTTGAAACAGAAATTAACAAGACAGCCACATTCTTCTTCTTCTTCTTCTTCTCTTCCACCTTGTACCTCATCGAAATGTCGGGGGGAGATGTAATGTTCGTTGATGGGCTCTGTCAAGAGCACTATTAAGACTGATGTTCATTTCTGTAAGGCTGTTCTTAATGCCATCACTCCATCCTTTCCGAGGTCTTCCACTCGCTCTATACTCGTTGTAACGTTTTAGTGTGGCTCGCTGTGGCGGATAGTACCAGGGCATTCTTGTTGTGTGTCCAAACCACTTCATTTGTTGTACTTTGATGACCCGTAAGACTGGCTTTATTCCTAGCATTTGTCTGATTTCATGATTTCGTATTCTGTCTTTCCTTGAAACTCCTGCAGCTCTTCTAAGGCATTTTATCTCTGTTGTCACAATTTTACGTTCATTGGAGGATGTAAGTGTCCACGTTTGGCATTGATAGCATAGTGTTGGCCAAAAAATAGATCTGATAAGATTCACTTTAGTACTCCGAGGTATCTGCTTGTGTGTCAACAGGGGAGATAGTTGACCCATTACTTGATTAGCTTTGGCACATCTGGAGCTAATTTCTCTGTCCATTTTTCCGTCAGATGTAAAAATTGTTCCCAAATACTTAAATTCCTCTGTTTGTCTCAGGGTGTTGTTTTTTAATTTAATTTCTAAATTGTCTTTATGTCTTCCTATCATCATTGTCTCTGTCTTCGTGGTGTTTATTTTCATATTATATTCCTCCCCTTTGTTACTAATTTGATTTAGGTGGTTCTGTAGGCATTCCGTATTTTCTGCTATGAGTACCTGGTCGTCGGCGAAAAGTAATTCTGTAATATCTTCTTTATGATTAAAGTTTGTTTCTCTACATATGGTATCCATGTATGTTATAAAAAGAAGCGGCGATAGTACACAGCCCTGACACACACCAGAGTTCACTATAAAAGTTCTTGACAACCCTGCCTTCGATCTTATGCAGCATTTACTACTTGTATACAGTCTTTTGCAAATATTAATGAGATGATTGCTGATTCCTTTTTTTTGGCCATACATTCCCACAACATATTCCTGTTGACTCTATCGAAGGCTTTTTCTTGGTCTATGAATGTCAACAAACATGTCTTATCATGTTCTATTGCCCTCTCTGATAGTTGTCTCAATGTATAAATGGCATCTGTGCAACTTCTGTTTCGTCGAAAGCCCATCTGTGCTTCTGAAAGTTGATACTCTATCAATGGTCTCAGCCTTTTTTCGATGATCTTAGCATACATTTTCCCAGTGTGACTGAGAAGTGATATTCCTCTGTAATTAGTACATTCCCTCTTACTTCCTTTATTTTTCCACAGCGGGACAATGACAGCAGTCTGCCAATCTGACGGTGTTTCTTGATTTTCCCATGCCCCCTAAAATATTCTCTTTAACCATATTGCTCTCGTTTCTCCTGCTGCCTTGATGGCCTCAGCTGGTAGATCATCAATACCTGTCGCCTTGATGGCCTCAGCTGGTAGATCATCAATGCCTGTCGCCTTTAGTCTAGGGGCGGTTCCAATGACATATTTATTTCATCCAATAATATATCTGGTTCTAGTTCCTCTGGTGTTAGTTTCGAGTTGTTTTTAATGTTGTTCCATGCTTTTATCTGTTTTATTGCAGCTAAGTAATGCTTCAAAGTAACTACTTCACCTTGCTAAAATTTTGGTAGGTTCTATTAAAGGTTGGCCAACTTCATCATTTATAATTTATGTTGGGTTGTATTCTTCATTCCTGTTTCTCATGCCTTTGATTTTTTTGTAGTAGTTTTTCACTGCTGTTCTTTCTTCTTCAACCAGCTTGCTTCCAAACTTTTCCCATGAATCTCTTTTTGCTTTTCTGATAGTTCTATTTACTTCTCTTCTAATTATCCTGTATGTTATGTAATCCTCTTCTGTTCTGCTTCTCAGCCAAATGCCATAAGCTTTCTTTTTACTGCTCACAATTCTTCTTATTTCTTCAGACCACCATGTTGAGAGCTTACACTCTATCTTACCTTTCCTTTTAGTTCCACAAATTTCTTGTGCTATTTTCATAGTGGTGTCTCTGAAATTCAACCATTCTGTATTTACCCCAAGAGTGTTTTGTGGAAGCTGTTCATAATTTTCCTGTAATTTTTGCTGAAACGCTCGCCTATTTTCCTCACACTCTAGTTCTTTCCATTTTGTTACGTCACTTTTATTACATTTCTTTTTTGTTTGATAACTTATCTTGACTTTTCTGTCTATTTCCCACTTGTAATTTCAAAATTATAATTCTTTCCGAGATGTAGTTAACTTCAATTATATTTTTTGCAGTTTCGGGATTGATGACAAATCCTACTCCATGCTTTGAACGTTGCATTTCCTCTACTTTGCCACATTAGCAAAAGTCATGAAATAGTTTAAAAGGTTTTTTTTTTTTTTTAATAAACAAAAAAGTTAGTTTCTGTCAGAGACTAGACAGTGCTATGTATACTTTGAGTTGTAACATAAAGTAAAGGCAATGATACAAATTGAAAGATACAACCAAGAGATGAACAAACAACAATTTTTTTAGGATATAACAAGAACAAACAGAAGTCTGTCAGTGTATAACAAGAATAGCAATCTAGAAATGTGTAACAAAAAAGTAATCTATCAGTGGATAACAAGAATAAACAGCAATCTATCAGTGTATAACAAGAATATACCAGTATATAACAAGAACAAACAACAATCTATCAGTGTATATAACAAGACAAACAACAATCTATCAGTGTATATAACAAGAACAAACAACAATCTATCAGTGTATATAACAAGAACAAACAACAATCTATCAGTGTATATAACAAACAAACAAAAAAACCAGCCTATCAGTGTATATAACAAGAACAAACAACAGTCTATCAGTGTATATAACAAGAACAAACAACAGTCTATCAGTGTATATAGCAAGAACAAACAATAGTCTATCAGTGTATATAACAAGAACAAACAACAGTCTATCAGGGGAATATCACCTGAAGACCAGAAACCTCCTGTTGTGCTCATTCCTTTACCTAGGACTTTTTGCTGACATGTGCAAACAATAACTGATTTTAATTTATTTGGTAAAAAGCACATCTGGTAAAACAAAAATCTCTGTATAAATAATCCTGCAAATAATGAGTTTATTTTGTCTGAAACATAGATTACTGCATTAATTGCATGTGCATATGAAACAATCTTGTGCATTGTAGGCAAGACCATGTTAAATTTTCTTTTCCAGACTGACCTGTCACACTCCATTCTGCAGCCGGCGGAGATGGGATCTTCAGGTGTTGTTCTCTGGGGAAGCTCTGCATACATGCAGGCCAAAAATGAATGTCTTGTCCTGCAACAGTACATCAATACAACACTGGGCCCATATGTGCTCAATGTGACCAGCTTTTTTGCCAACTGCAGCCAGCAGTTGTGTACGGGTCATGGTCGATGCGTGAAAAAAGATTATGAGAAAGTGTACCAGTATTACCTTAGGAAACGGGGAGATTCGAGCTGTTTGCTTCCAGATAGTGTACTGGCTAGGAAAACTGAAAGATCCAAGGCAGAAACAAGTAAAGGCACTTTGAGTGATGTATTAAGATTTAACTCTGAACATTTCAACCCTCACTTAAACATGAACTCTTGGCAATCTAAAGATGATCAGAGAGAACAACTGTGGTCTAATTTTGATGATTATGTTTGTAAATGTTTTGCTGGTTGGCACGGCGATCATTGTGAGCATCCAACAGCAGATTAGCAGCAGACTTTGTTTAAACCAGCTGCTTTTAAAGCAGCCATGAGAATTTGTGTTGTTTTATTGTAAATAATTCTTCATTGCGGTACTGTAATAAAATAACATAATATAACCCTGGACCTGTTAAGGTCATGGAGATGTCGCAATGCAAGCACTAACACGCAAAACGGACAATCTTTTTCTGTCCTCCGTTTGATGACCAAGTGTATGATAACTTAGTTCTGTCCATTTCTTGATGTTGTCATTCCACATTCATCTTTGCCCTCCTCTTCTTAGACTACCCTCCAATGTTTCTTGAAGTACAGTCTTTGCAATCAAGTCATGTCTCACTATGTGATCATACCAAGCTAGCTTGCAACATTTCACCACTGCCAAAAAGGTTCTTGATGTCCTGCAAACCTGCACATTTTGTCTCTGACATATTTGTTAGTCTTATGTTTTAAATTGGTAAAATGTGTCTATAGCATCTACATTCGAAAGCCTGAATCCTCCTTTCCTGACACAAAAAGCACTGCTGAATGATTCCAGGCTCAGAATTGTTCCACTTTATTTATTAGTTCCAGATGTAATCGTTGTTTGTTACTAGATGACATTTTTTATAGTTAATGATTTGACTATTTTACATCATAGGTAATTCAAATTTTTCTAGTTATGACACAATGCACACATTTATATATATTTTATATCCAGTAAAGCCATGACTGGCTGGTCATTGACGTTATGGTTATGGATCCTTATGATGACTAATACTTATAAATCTTATCTTCAATGACATCTAGGTCACCTGAAAGGAGCTGGCATCTATCCACATGGGGTTGTATGCTGGGCTTTGTGTGATGCTCTTGGCAAGCGGTTAGCTGTTCTGTTGCATTTAGGCAGCGTTAGTGCAGTCAATAGGACACTCGCTTTTAAATCCAGCTGCGACTTTCAGCAGCCCACGGCCGGTGTTTGAAACTAGTTGGTTCTCAGGGTTCACCCAGCCTCTAGGAAATGGGTACCAGAGTTTACACTCAGGGGTAAATGGAGGAACGCCGCTGTAGCCATGGAGTTACGTGCGGACGGCGACACAGGCTGAACAACTTCTCATCAGCTGTCCATACTGGTTGCAGAGCACTTATGGTTTAAAACTGTATACAATGATGCTGATTCACATCTCCCAACTTTACCTTTACTGTTGCATTTCTAGACTCCTACTGTCTTACCTCGGAGTCCAGACTGACAAATACCTCACATCTGACAGGATGTGAGTAGGTCACCATTCAGCAGCTACAGACAGGCTGCCATTAGCCATCTCTAGCTGATGTTTCCTCACTGACATTAAAGTATTTACTTATCAAAACCACTTGATGGCTAGCCAGGAATAGTTCAGATATAAACATCAAATAAGTCAATTGTTTTCATTATGTAGGTCACAGAGTGACAACTGGCAGCAGATGTGATGACACATATACAGATTAAAATCCCATCCCATCCCAAAAAACATGAATGCATAACTTCCAGGGACAAAGTTCAGAAATATTGTGACCAGTACAGAAGTCCTCTTATGAACAGTTGTGTGTGGCTTTTTCAGTATGAATTGTGAACATGGACAATAAGTGATAAAAAGGTGTCGGCTCCAGGGCCTCATCTGGGGGGAAAACCAGAGCTGATCCACTGCCTTGTAGCAAACATGTCGGGGAAAACCAGAGCTGATCCACTGCCTTGTAGCAAACATGTCGGGGAAAACTAGAGCTGATCCACTGCCTTGTAGCAAACATGTCGGGGAAAACCAGAGCTGACCCACTGCCTTGTAGCAAACATGTCGTGAAAGTTGACTAGTTAGGAGTGTTTCCTGTAGAGATGGAGAGCTTCTGCATGAACGGTGAGAAACCAGCAGTCTGCATACATTCACGTTTGTAAAATAGATGTGCATGTAAAACTAAAGTTTTAAAACAAGACTTTATACGAAGCAAAACAGGAGGGCTCGTTCTAGAGATCTCTTCCTGCCCTGACGCCGCGGGACATTCCAGGAGGAGAGAACAGAAGAAGAAGATGAGAAATTTTTGAATATCCAAAACTTTGTGCTGGAATTTACGCTCCTACACATCTGAGGCAATGAAGATTTTTTTGGGGGGTGGGGGATTGGGGGGGGGGGGGGGGAGGAAAATTATTGACAAAGGGATGGTCAAAGAAGAAACAAAACCAAGACATGGTTTTGTAAATTTTTTCTTCAGAATAGCACAGACAGAGAAGAAAGTAACCAGTTTGCTGATGAGCTGTGGGTATTAGAGGATCACTCAGTAAAAAACAGACAGAAAAAAATAATACAATGAACAATAATAATATGTATCCACATAAGATTTAAAACAGAAATTTTTAATTTTTTTAAAGAAAATATGAAAAGATAAGACCAGCAGCAGAAACTGTTTGACGGTTATAATATGGATGTCCGATATCATCAACACTTAGTATAATGGGCAGAAGTAAACAAACAGGGAACCCTTGAAGCTGTAGAGATAATTAAACAGGTTCTTGGTTCGGTAGCCGAATATCTGCTTTTATATGGTCTCCTTGCTCACATAAAACAAGTATTTTATGTATGCCATCCGCCACCTCCTCCTCCTTCTTCTTTTTTTTCCTCCTCTTCTTCTTATACTGCTTCATCTTTTTCTTCACCGGCTGTAAACTCTGGCGGCAAATTGCTGCTGTTCGTCCAATTCTTGTCCTAGAACATGAGTGTTTCGTGCACATTTGCTTTTACAGATCTGCTTATTTGTATGCAGACTGTTGGCTCCCTGACTCTCAGGTAGATGCACTCCGACTTCAAACGAAACCTCGAATTAGGTGATTCCTACGACATGCTTGTTGTAGAGGCAGCGGGTCTGTTCTTCCTCATGATAATGGCAGCCTGAACCCACACGGGGAGTAGACTATTCACCCAACATCATGTGCGATCTCGAGCAGTTTATTCCACTACGTTTCCCTACAAACATCCCCCACCCCCCGTTTGTGACTATTCACCCAACATCATGTGCGATCTCGAGCAGTTTACTCCACTACGTTTCCCTACAACCCAACATCATGTGCGATCTCGAGCAGTTTACATCCCCAAACACCCCCCCCCTTTGTGACTATTCCATGGATCTCGTCCGCCCTCAAACATCCACCCCTGTAGTGACTCTACATGCGGCAGTTTATCATTCCCTACAAAAATCCCCCACGCCGTTGTTCATGTCTTTGCACGCGTGTGTGCCTTGCACAAATATGAAGCTGATACATGTATCAGTCCCGACCGCTTTAGAGACTCGAACCCTTGTCTGCCGACAGTATATCCACGTTCCCTGTAATGTTGATGTGCTGATACTTGGGATCCACTCATGCAACATTTGTTCATTTAGAACCTTTCACTGTACCAAATGATAATCTGACACAATAATTACTCTGGTAACACTATTTTCTGAATTCTTTGAGAGCTGTAGTGATTGCCTTCCCCTCCATTCGTCTGGCTAGAAGTTGCTGAAAAAAAGCTCAATTTCCCCTTTCTATTTAGCTGAAAATCCCCAGTCAGATCTTATACCCGATAAACAGATCGATCGGTGCACACTATTGCATCGTCTAATCCAGCGTTTTTACTTCTCAGTTGTTGTATCTATAATTCTACAATAAGTAGGTATGTGCTTTCTGGAAAAAATAAAATCGTCACGTTCACCCAGCATCACCGAAGAGGGACTGAAAAATAAGGGGAAGGGGGGTCTTTAGGTTATAATTGTGACTAGGTTATGTGCGACATACACACTGGAGTAGCATTGCATGCCACTAAGAGTCCTGAAAAGGACTACTGCAGTGTTGATGCGATCAAAGGAGACAGACCCAAATACTGTCCCGACGCGACAAAGTGGTCTACTATGAGCCAAAAGGCGAACCGGTCGCCAATGCTAATTCTTCCATCTTTTAGTCAAAGTTTATTGTAAAGACGGCATTTTGTACAATGTCAAGCTGCCAACATATGTAACTCTAAAGAAGAGAGTTCAGCCAGCGGCAGCTAACTCTGAACTGTCCAGCAGCAGAAGTCTCGGACCGGGGGACAGCAGCAACAGGCGAAGGGTTTTGTTTGTTTCCATGATTGGTATGTATAGATCGGTTCACGGCAGAGGAGAGACCCTAGGATAATTAGTGCAGATCAAACCTTAGAGGACACGTTTCTAGTCATGCAGTCGGTCATTTATCATTGTTGAGGCAACACAGTGAGCAACAAAATAGACAGTACACAAACTTGAAAACGTTAAGGCAAAAAATAAAAACTGTCTCTTATTTATAGTCTCAACACAACAAACACATAACTCCAAGCCAAAAATGACGTGATTGATAGCTGATTTCGGACACAGTACTCATACTGTACTACTCAAACACAAGAATCCTGTCCTCACTGGTGAGAATTGAGTGTTGACAGTAGTGTGGGTAAGGAAGCTAATATTAAAATCATTATTATCATGTATCATTTCCTCTTCAAGACGCCAGCTAAACATTCAGGGTTAGAGGCCATTGTCTTATCTCTCACATCATTGACCATGCATCATTTTCTCTTCAAGGACGCCGGTTAAACATTCAGTTAGAGGCCTTTGTCTTATCTCTCACATCATTGACCATGCATCATTTTCTCTCCACGCCATAATATCAGACTACTCAGTGCCTTCTCTCTCTGTCTTACTCTGCTGCTTTATCCTCATCCTTTCCCTCCATCATGATGTACTCCAGTTATATCCAAGACTCTGCTACTTTATCCTCATCCTTTCCCTCCATCATGATGTACTCCAGTTATATCCAAGACTCTGCTACTTTATCCTCAAACTTTCCCACCATCATGATTTACTCCAGTTATATCCAAGACTCTGCTACTTTATCCTCAAACTTTCCCACCATCATGATTTACTCCAGTTATATCCAAGACTCTGCTACTTTATCCTCATCCTTCCCCTCCATCATGATGTACTCCAGTTATATCCAAGACTCTGCTACTTTATCCT